CAGCCTATCTTAGTTTTTCCTTACCGCATGAGTCATGTTGAGATGGAAGAGTTGAAGAAACAGATCAATGAATTGCAGGATAGTAGGTTCATCTGATATAATATGTACCCTTGGGATGCTAGACTCATATTTGAAATGAAGGAGAATGAGACATTAATGTTATGTATTGACTACAAGAGGCTGAACATGGTCACAATCAAGAAAAAGTACCCCCTCCCCAAGATCGATGGCCTTTTTGATCAGTTGCAGGGTGCTCAGGTCTTCTCCAAAATACACCTGTGTTCAAGTTACCATCAAGTATAGATCAAGGCAGAAGATATTCCCAAAACCGTTTTTCGAACCAGATACAGACACTATGAGTTTCTGGTCATGCTATTTGGACTAACTAATGCATCAACTATTTTTATGGATTTGATTAACAAGGTTTTCAGGCAATTCCTGGATCAATTTGTTATTGTTTTTATCGGATATCTTGATTTATTTAAAAAGCAGAGAGGAACATGCTCACTATCTGACTCAAGATTTGTAGGTTCTTTGAGAAGAGAAGTTGTATGCAAAGTTGAGTAAGTGTGGGTTCTGACTCGAGCAGACTACATATGGAGTGTCAATAAACCCAAAAAAGTTAAACTAGTGATTGGTTGGAAGAAATTGACATCGGTCAAGGAGATTCATAACTTTTTGTGAATGGTAGATTATTATCGCAAGTTTGTAGAATGATTTTCTAGCCTATCTGCTCCTTTGACCTGGCTCACAAAGAAGAATGTTAAGTTTGAGTAGAACGATGACTGTGAAAGGAGCTTTTCAAGACTAAAGAAGCAGTTGACTACTGTACTTGTGTTAGCCTTACCGAGTGGGATAGATGGATACACAGCTTATAGTGATACATCCTACTTGGGGTTAGGTTATGTTCTGATACATCATGGGAATGTCATAACTTATAGGTCTAGGCAGTTGAAAAGTCATGAGAAAAACTATCACACCCATGGCTTCGAACTTGTCGCGATTATCCACACCTTGAAGACTTTGCGTCATTACTTGTATAAGGAGACTTTTTAAATCTATGTTGACCATAAAATGTTGAAATACATATTCACTCAAAAGGATCTCAACACTCATCAGAGACGATTGATAGAACTCATCAAGGACTACAATTATAATATTTTGTATCACCCGGGTAATGGCAATGTAGTAGTCGATGCACTCAATAAAAAAAGTGCAGGTAGGTTAGCTCACATAATGGTTTCAGAATGCAGGGTAATAGGGGCCGCACAACAGTTACGACTTCAGGACCTGAAGATAGTTATATGTTTGGTCCACCTGACTGTTCAATCTGAGTTGATCCAAAGAATAAATGAAGCTTAATTCGTTGATTTCACCCTAGTAGCTCTCAGAAAAGATGCAGAACAGAGAGTAAATTCAAAATTTCGAGTATCTGCCGATGGATTACTCAGATTTTAGGATAAGAAGTGTGTTCCATGTGACAGTGAGCTGAAAAGGGATATCATGACAGTGGCTCATAACTCAAAGTTTATCATGCATCCTGGAAGCACTAAAATGTATCAAAGTATGTGACTCCGATTTTGGTAGAACGGGATGAAAAGAGAGGTAGTCGACTTTGTTTCCAAGTATCTAGTATGTCAGTAGGTCAAGGCAGAACATCAGCACCTAGGCGGCCTACTTCAGCCATTGTCCATTTCAGAGTGGAAGTGAGAACACATCACAATAGATTTCGTGATAGGATTGTTTAGAGCACACTTGGGACATATTGGAACAAAACAAACGGTGGGTGAGCCGAAAACCACAGGCAAAACCTGCAACCTCCTCCGATGATCTCTTATTCGTTTCCTATTTTGTGTGATTTTTCTACCGTTGTGTTCGCTGTTTTGTTTTTTACAGATTGATTGAAGAAAAAATTCCAGCTGCAAAGGTGAGCCAGCGGAGCCGCCGTATCCGGAAAACCCCACCATCGGTAGATTTTCATTTTCTGATTTTTTTGGGCCAACTGAGGCCCCCTAACGTGTTTTTTTCACAGGAAACTCAGGGACCACCAGTATGTGCAATAGAAAGTTCGGTGTTTCGGACACCGATTCAAGTAAGGATCCCTCACTCTTTTCTCCATTACAGCAAATTGAAGCTTAATAATTAAAAATTGTGTCTTTATGAAAAATTAGAGAACCCTAAAAATAATTACAGGTCACTAGTGGAGGCAGAACTGGTTAGTTTACAGTCATTTTGATTTCCTGTTTATTTTTCTGTATTGCATATATTTGTTTACTTTTATACTGTGTGTAACTCAATTGATGATTTTTAGGGTCTTTTTGGTTATTTTGTTATTTGTTTCTCCTACATTACATGTCGGTATTCTGGTCATTAGTTATTTAGCTGCATTAAACTATATTATTGTCTAAATGAACTCTGAGTATAAAATGAGATATGGTTATTGCATGGTTGGTTGTTATGGTGATGGAAATCTGTATGAAAAAAATTTACTAGGTACCCGAGAAAGAGCGTACGAACCCAGTACATAGGGAACCTTACCGTGAACGTTACCTCAGTCGGACGGGGCTGGGAAGTCTCTTACCAGTAAGGTTTAGGAGAGATGATTCACCTTCATCTCCGACGGGGTATCGAGGTGGTGGAATATTTAGTATCCATTACTGGACGGGGTATGGAAACGACTGGTTAATTGTTTAATTGGATATTGGGTTTACGAGTAAAAGGACATCCCTATGGATCCTAGAGATACCGATAAGCGAAAAAAATATAAAATGATCATTCTTGTTATCTTCTATGTGATAAATAATAGTACATGAATTTGAGTTTTTATAAGTTAGTATTGGAAAAGACTTATTACACAATATAGAATAAGTAGTTTTCTTTATAGTAAATAAATTTACATTAAATTAAGGGATTCATTAATTGTTTTTCTGATTTTTACCAATTTTTAGTTTTTCATATCTTTTATTAGCGTGATATTCTTACTAGGTTAGTGTAACTCATCCATTCATTAACTATTTCATATCAAGAGGACCAAGATCCAGATCCCAATCAATAAGGAAGTTACGAATAGTTCACTACCTCGACTCCCTTCAAGAGCTAGTAAATGTCGTCCCAAGATTGCTTAGTTATTTGTCATTCATTTATTTCTTTAATTTTCGTTTGTTCTTTTAGAATGGACATTCCCACAACTCTATTAGCCATTGTAAAGTATTGTGTAAGGAATGTAAACTCTAACTTGATTATTTCGCTTTCGTATTTAATTTATGACTTTATTTTCATTTAAGTTACGAGCCTTTACATTATTAGATAATTAATAAATTATTATTATATTTGTTACAAGTTGGTTGTTGTTTTAATGCTTTAAGCATTTTTTCTTTTAAAAAAAAATTAAAAGTCAATAACTCTAACTAATCTAAATGGCTCAACCAATTAAAGAGACTGATTTAGTTTAATTGATTCAGTTTAACTAATAGTTCAATTTTTTATTTTATTAGTTTTATTTTTATTCTAAAATTTTCTAACCTGACCTAACCAATACTCATCCCTAATCAACTCTATGCCTCGCTTTCACTAAATTTTTAACCCATATATGCAAAATTGGTCATTGAATTCGTGCCTTCCACTCTGTATAATCAAATCTCAAATACATTTCTTTCACTGGATTTTTGATGAGGTGATATGATTATGGCAACAAAAATACTTTAGCATGATATATGTCATAAAAAAAATACCACAATACTGAGTCTTTTTCATGCATCATCTCACGTGCACTTTTTGTACCGAAATATACTTCTTAACATGATCTTATCAATGGCTCTTTGAAAGTTAATAAAGTTCATTAAATGTAATAAAAATTTATATTTTACCGAGAAAAAGACTAAAACCCAGAATTGTTGTTACAAATCAAATTGTTATTACAATTAATTCAATTTAATACTAATATAATTCAAATTATACATATAATTTAATAGTTAATTAAATGGTTAATATATTCATTATCTATAAGAATTTGTGAGTTGGAAGTAACTTATACTCCTAATTATATTCTCATTTAAAAATTATTTATGTAAATGTTATAATTATTATTTATGTACCACTTTATAATTAATATATGAATTTAGTAAAGAACAAATTTTTATAAATAACTTATAACTAATCAATCAAAAATAATTTTACAATTTATCCAAAATCATCAACGAATAGTGTAAAATAATTAAAAAAAAAATCATAAGAATTGAATTGCGTAAGTAAAAAATAACACAAACTAAATCATAAGACTTGATAGTAAACAACAGGATATCATGCAAGTCTTTTGATTCTAATTAAGATTACATCTACTTGGATATTTTAATCAGTTACTGTCTTTCGTTAATTTAGATAATGGTACAAGCCATTTAACTTTTGTTATTTTCAGAAAATAATTATACTCACAAAAATCATCGCACATATATATATATATGCTATTTGCTTTAAAAGCAAACTTCCTTTTTTCTTTCACTTATACTGGCTCATTAAAATTTCTTGGTTCACGAATATTTGTTATTTATGATGTTCTGAATCTTACTGTTCATATTAATCAACGACTCTCAACTGTAACCAAAAAAAGAATTCAATTCACAATTTGAGAATTAGAAGAATCATTAAAACTTGATTTGACAATATGAGAATAAGATGTTACCAGAGGAAATTACGTACAAGGCAATATAAAAAAGGATACACATTTAATTTTCTTCTAGACATTAATGGCTTCTTCTGTAAATTTAACATTTCTCATTGGGTAGTGAGACACCATTTATTTTTTGGATTTTTTAAACTACGAAAATAACACACCAAAAATAGAAAACTAACAAAAAAAGAAATCCATCATCATCTGAATTTTGATTGCAGTCTTGGATATTCTGTTTGGTCAGGTCAGATTCAGTAGTGGAGTAATTTTTATTTTTTAATTTAAATTCAGAAAGCTCAAATGATAATTTGTACTTGGAGGAATTCTGAAAAAAGAAATTAACAAATGTCCTTTTCTTCTTTATGGTTTTTATCTATCCATAAATCATATCATGTTTGGCACAAGATTCATAGAACACCAACACTTCCCAAGAGAGCACATGTTGCGAATGTACAATTAACTCGTTTGTTTCTTCTCTTTGCCTTGCCTATTGAGCGTTCATTAAAATGAGAACAGATTATTTAAAAAAGAAGAAAAAAAAAACAAATAATAAAGAAGAAACATCAATCTTTAGTTTTTCATAGGATCTGAGTCCTGCTTCTGGAACTGTTGAAGAATAATACTACAATTGTTCATGGTACGTGCATCAAGAAGCCCATGATTCCACAGCTTGATCATAAACAGTTTCCAACACCTGTAAAGACCATAATAAAGAGATGTTTTCGATCATCTGAGTCCCAACCATAGTAAACGATTTACATTAAGTCTCAGACATGAGAAGAATACTGAATAATAACTCACTTTATACTTGTGATTCATATACAGCCTAGGCTCATTCCATCTTATGCACAATATTAGTATAATAAACTGATAAGATTCTTTTATTTAAGTTCAGCAGAAAACAAAATTAAGCAATTCCAACGAGCATATATGAAAGTATCTGCATAAAAATATATCTCAGCCTATCTGGTTTGGCTTTAATTCTCCTGCCAATCCAGGCTTTATTCCTATTACAAGTGCAATCGCTAAGCCATTGTTTATTTTATTCAAATTTCTTAATACCATTCCAATTCTAATCTAGCATTTGAAATTCTAGGAATTCTCATCTATATAGTTGGAATTCTATTCATATTCCATTCTAATAAAATTACCATTCTATTCCCACTCATCACATATCGTGAACCAAATGGACCATGATTATAGTGGCACAAGAACTGACAAGATTCAAGATGAAATTTCAACCAGCATAACCACTATTCAATCACCATGGCCTCTTGGCCTTGTCCCTCCACTAGCCCAAACAAGAAGGGGAAAGATTGATTTCCAGAAATAAGGGAGACCAACTGAAGAAATTTGATCCAGAGAGAAGCAGGTCCTGCCCCCCAGGAAAAGTAGTAGTAGGAGTGAAAACTAAACTAAAGCAAAAAATTAAATTAAATTAAAAAATATGGAAAAGGTAAAGCTACCAAAGCAAGGCTGGGGAACGAACAAGGTCAGATCCATGCAATCTAGAAAATGCTTCACATGCCCACGGAATATGACCATCTGCGAGCACTCTGTCATCATAAGACAAAAGATTCAAGATAAAAAAACTGAGATAAATGGTCACTAGACAATGCATTTTGTTTTCTTTTTTCTAAATAAAACAAGAAATGTAATTAGAAAGAGATCCAATACAGCTGCTTTATATCACAGTCTCACTTAAAATATTTACCTAGAACTAAATTCGAGCGAACTTATCTGTATGAAGCATTTTAAAAGGGGGTAGGACTGAAGACCGCAACCGGCCTAAGATAAAGCCCGCCCCAACCATTAAGTCTTGATTATACAGAAAATTACAAGACGACTATTTCATTGCTTTGGCAACAGATTACTTTCTAAGCAAAAAGGATGATTCCAAGTGGAGAGAGGATTTACCGCTGTTTCCTCACAAATGAGTTCCACAAGTGCATCATTTGCTTCTCATCTCGGGTCACATCCACAAAATCATCAAGAATCTGAGAGTAATAAAACCATATTAATTGCTATCTCACCACCTACACCAGTGACTCAAAATATATGACGGAGAATGTTCCAATTAAAACTCAGCAGAACAGAAAACCTGATTCAACTGAAGGAACATATCTTATTACTCCTCCTGAAGCCTTTCATAAGTAAAAAAGAAAGCAATTCATTTAATAATAGGTGGCATGACACGGAAATTTCATGATAAAACACTCCATGATCAACTAGAATCATGTAACTCTTTACATATCCTTATGATTGTTAATAGAAATTTATTCTCCATGTTTTATGCGTTGCAGGCAAACCTATCTGTCTGCAGCATGTTTCTTAGTTGATCTATTGGAAAACTTGCACATAGTTGAAGAGAAGAAAAAGAAAGAATTGCATTTCTTCCTAATTAACACCTTCAAGTAAATTTTTCTTTAAACAAACAAAAAAGAATGTTTCCATATTCCTTCGGGTGAAGACATAAGAATGGCCCCATAAACTGATGCTTCATGATGACCAAACGTTTTAAATTCTTCAGTAACAAACCATCACTAACTTTAAAATATAAACAGAGTTTTAAGTCATTAAACATACTCTTCGATCTTCAAAATCCGCAACATCATCATCAACTTCATCCTCACTGTCTCGATCCGACATTACTTGCTCCAATGCCATTGGCTTTAAGATAACAAAAAAGGCACCATTTTCAGAAAGCCTTATGCATGCAAGCCAAGTTGAAGTCACTAACCATGGGTTAACTATAAATACATATTTGTAAGTTCTTCATAAATCAACTCTGATCATTCATAACAATATCCAATTTATTTCTTATTCAGGCACAAATAACTAATGTATTTGGTGTTGTGAAAGCACATCAAGCATACATCTATTGTAAGTGCTTTTTAAGGTCCAAAAAGCCAAACCAACTCTTCAAATCCTAATTTAATGGACTAAGACTGAGAATACAATATAAACAGAATTGAAATTTTAATAAAAAAATAACATTCTAATTCGAGTCAATTTTTTTCTAATTCAAGTTAGATGTTCTTGTGATTCCTTCATTGACATACTAGAATCCAAATCCATGATTGTGGAACTAAAGATAAAATTCAATGTGATTCAACAAAGTATTGCATATGTAAATTATAACTAAGATCTAGGAGTTGAAATGAAGATTTTAACCTATGCAATACTAACGCCAATCCTCTTTAGAACCATTACCCACAGAAAAACTCTAACCTCGGGAACTTTCATTTCCCAAAACAAGGAAGAAAATAAATTAGCAGATTGTGGATGATAAACCCAAATATGACGAGTATATGCCCTGAATTAGTGGATTATTGCCTGTAATTGAAGGATAGATATAGGAAGAAAGGAATCAAACAAAGTAACGAAAACATTAGACTTGATGATTCTTAATCATTGGGATCTATTACAAAAAAAGTTCCATTTACATGACCATCACAGTGATCAAAAAATTATGATTGGGGCATCATATGTTGTGGAAATTTGCAAAGGTAGAAAAAGCATGAGAAGAGGGGGCTTTCCCATTCCATGGTCTCCCTGGAAAGGAAATACGGGACCTCCACTAAAGTTAAGTGCCAAAAGAATCCTAAAAATAGAAAACAGATGGACTTTCTCTTAATAAAAGAGAAAAAATAATAATACAGAGTAAACACCAACTCTACAACTACTCTAGACAAATCAGCACAAAAGTTAAAATAAATCACCATGCAAGCATGGAGAGGATAACCGTTCCAATCATACTTTTGCATTATCAGGCACCTTTGTAGATATCATATCCGTTTCCAGGGATATCGAGAAACAGATTAAAAATATTAGTACCAACTCAGCTCACATATCTCAGCGATGTTATTTTAAATTAATAAAAAATCGAAAACCAGTCATCACTGGCAGAAAAGTACACCAGAAGAACAAAACATAATTCATATGAAACCACAGTGTCATTTACACTGTTACTGGAAATACTGTATCTTCTACACCTCATACGACTTATATTGTTCATTTAACATGCAAATTTGGTTTCCATAGTCAGGCTTATCTGTGTAGACAAGAAAATGCCAAGAATTAATGGATCCTGAGAGAAGTGAATAGCGCTGTAAGCTTGAATGATGAAGGCCAATATTCACAACAATATCAGTAATAAACAAATGAGAACTATATCGTTACTATATTGGCAAAGAATCACTCACCTGAGCTCTATGGGAGTGGAAAAACTGTCGCTTTTGAAGAAGAGTTCGACTAAAGAAAAGATAAAAGAAAGAAAAGACCATGTCAAACCCAATTTAATCTCTTACATAAATAGCTAGTTTAAGGTAATAACGGACATTAAAATAACCACATCATTAAGGAATTGCAGACAAAGCAAATAATCAAATTTAGATTATTAAACCAAATTATGTTATAAATTTAATCAGCGACTGAAAGTCAAAACTCAAGAAAATACAATGACACAATTTAATGTGTAATCAGATCCATATATAACAATGTAAGCACCTCCAAGTTGGAATGTACAGATATTAAATGATAAAAGCAGAAAAGTAGACCTAAGGAAAACATATATTTACCTAAACCAAAGTAATTGTTTACAAGCATGATTTTGATGACCATAGCATATCTAACAAGTTTTAGCCTATTGATCTGGGTAACAAGGACATTTCTGAAGTGCAGTACACCGATGTTGTTTTTGTTTCTTTAACTGACAAACACATACAAGTATAGACACGCATAGACACACAAGTAAGCACTCACACATACACAGAAACTACGTATCCCACTTATATCTTGTGTTCTTTACTCTCTTATTTTGAAGTTCTGGCTTATTTTGTATTTGCACAACAATTTTACTTAAGCTCACTGAAAAGCATTTTATAAGACGTTGTGCTAGAGAGGTTGTCAACCTGAAATGGCAAACTTAGTGGAATATACCTGCATCTGCAATGATTTGCTTGGGGAGGAAATAGAGGCACCAAATTTAGGTGTAACAAATTCTTTTCGTTTTAATTTTTATTATTTATTTTTTAGCAACTTATTTCCATAACCTCCTCCAGTGACAGTTTTGGTTTATCATTTCATTGCTTTTCTCTTACCTTAAAAAGAAGAATAAATTAAGCTAAGACAATAAGAATTTAAATATTCTTCATGCTTTGATTGACAAAAGGCAAATATAATGGAAAATGGAAAATGGAAAACCACGAGAATAATGGACTTTGGCTACACCCACTGAAATTTAAAAACAAAAAGCATAGAGAGTTGGGTACATTGTGTTGTTAACTTATACACATCAGTAGCTGAGAAGAGAACCAATTTACCTCTTCCAAGTATTAAGAAAACATAATCTCAAAATGAATATTCATAATATAGCAAATCATTGACTATGATCTTTGTACCAAAACTGCATCTCATGAATATTGGCTATACAAAACTGAGAACTATGATCTTTGTACCAAAACTGATAGATCATGAAATAAAAGATCATTGCACTGCAGAAAATATTGGCTGCAACCATCTACGATGCCTACGTAGAATTTAGACAAGATTCACCACTATCAACATGTCAACATCCTGTACAAGCTCAATACATATAGAACAGGATATAGTAATAAGTTCATTGTATAAGAGAAAACCTTTAAGATATATTTTGGAAAAAAAAATCTTTAAGATGGAAATATTTAATGTCTGTTACCCTTTATATACATCAATCTCAAAGAAGAATCAAGTAATTTTCTCCAATAATTAGGAAAACAATATCATATCAGGGATTCACATAGCAAATTATTAATTTAGAGCAATGACACAACATCAACCTAAAACTAACAGTCAAATAACATTATTGTATCTCGGTGAAAATTTGACTAGAGAAAACTGAGAACAATGATCCTTGTAAAGAAACTGAAAGACCATGAATCAGATGGTCATTGAATTGCACGATTGGATTGCTGCAACCAATGCACCATATCTATGAAGCTAGACAATTTGAGTTGTCACTATCAACATGTTAATCCCCGAATAAGCTCAATATATGTAATAAAATAGAACCTACTATTGAATTCATCCTATAAGAATAAATCTGTAACATGGAAATATGTAGCCTGTATACAGCATGAAGGATAGATAACTTACTTTCTTTGATCCGGTCGCTCTGCAGACAGCTTTCTGGTTTTTGCAAATTGTAGCACAGAAGAAGGTTCAAGGTTGTTTCCAGATACTGATTGAACACAGTCAGCTTCTCCAAATGCACCTGAAAGCCCCGTAAAATTAGAGATAGATGGATCATCTTGCACATATTCCATACTACTAATGCTAGCATTATGCAAATCACTCCCACCTGAAATACGAGCTTTTTCACCTTTACTGGAATGAGCATCTGAAACAAAAAGCCAGTACTTAAGCAGTGAGTATGGTATACCACAAAGCAAGAGGTAAAAAATATAATCAAGGATCAGCTGAAATTGAAAAACACCCATGCATTAATAAAGTACATTGGAGACATTTGACAGGCACACCAAAGTTTCTTGTTAAGAATTTGAAACTAAATAAGGTCATTTCTTTTTCGCATATTAAAATTCTTGAACCACGGAACAAACATAGATTACTTCTCACCCAATACCAAAAAATAGCTCCATATAAAATCCATATTAAACAAAATGAGCATAGATCCGAGCATATAAGTTGATTTTCCATCACAATTGATTTCTGAGTACAATATTGAATTTATATACATAAGAACTCTTTCCCCAAATTGGTTGCTGAAGATTAGAGGCTGAGAAAAGAACCCAAAATGATCAAACAAAAATGATAATCAAAAAAGCAAGAAAAATAACATAAAACATAGAGAAAGCTTGCAGCAGCACTGACAAGTATTTCACAGGGCTAAGTCCAACCTCTTAGACAACGATTGTCTTCACAATAATTGATGCTTCTAGACATTTGAAGTACTCTAATTCGTACCAGAAAGAACAGCTTGTCAACTAGGCATGACATTATGCTTTCCTTTTCTGCCTTGGATTTCTTAATTGATGCCCTCGACCCCTTCCCCAAAAACATAGTACGAGGATTTGGGCTTCATACAAGTAGAAGTACATCTAAAGGAGTTTCAAGTGATGGATAATTTCCTTACAGGTTTAGTTGACTCAGCTCAACTTTTGAAAAAGCTCACCTCTATATATTTGATGGTTAAATTCAACTTCATACTCAACTTTCGTCCTGGTTTTGCTGTGTTCTTTTTTTTTTTTTTTCTTTTGGAGGATAGCTTATCCTCCTTTAGGTTGTATCTCTTTTTTCCTTGTCTAATTTATTCCTTTTTCTATCAAGAAAACGGTTAAACTTCACACTTTTAAGAAAACATCATACGTCTAAAGAAGCTTGGTTTAGAACCAAAATTCTGTATTATCTACTTGTTTCAGGGATCATGAATTTCTCTCGTTCTCAACACTCATCCAGAGTAATGAACTCTTCAATCCCAAAACAAAAGAAAAGTTTGAGAAAGAGATGCAACAATTTCACATCTTTTTGCAATGTGCAAATCCTCCTTGCACAGTGCAATATATCCTCATTAACTTATGCCCACTGAATTTCGGCAGAACAAAAAGTACTATTAATCCTAAAGAATGGAATTGATTGTCACCCTTATACAAAAGGGAAATTTCTACAACAAGATTGGTTTCATATTAATACCTTAAAAATTTATCTCAAAAAAAATAGTAATACCTTAAAAATATCTCAATTTTTGTTCTCATCAACATTCTCATCAAATCAAAAGCTCAATACTCGAGGCTACTTATCTTTTAAATCAATTACAGATGTTCAACCCCTTTCCTTTTCATTCCAAAGCCACCCACAAGGACAAAAGGAGGAGTTAGGAAATTGTTCTCTTTGCTCCTTCAGAGCTTGATTCTAACATATCTAAAAGTGACTCTCAATAGAACCGGCTACAGTTTACTAAACAAAAAAGGAATAACTAAAATAACAAGAGAACCAGCAACAAGTCAACTTAAACCAGGAAAGAAAAAAGCACATTCCTAATACTCCTTAAATAGAAAATATTTACATGCATATATCCATGTAAGTATGTTTACAAGGCAGAAGAAAAATCGAAACATCACCAATTTCATCTATAAACTTATTAAGAATGAAGGTTTGCATCAATTTCATTGCTAATTAGTGACTATAAGCATAAGAGCAGAACACATACCATCAACCTTATCAAGAGCCTGACCCAGACCAGGTAGGTTAGACTCTAAAGCAAGTGGACATCCATTTTCTGCATTTTGTACTATGTTCTTTTGTCTCCTGCGTTTTAATTTCCTTGAGCTGCACATAAAAACGAGCTCTTACAAGGTCATCCACATGCTGACAACATGAACCTTATAAGACCAAGGAACATGGGTGGGGGATACAGAACATGCATGACTCACCAGAAAAAGAACGTTTGTTGTTTGGGGTCAATACCATCTGCAACGATCTGAATAAAGCATACACATATATGTTAGAGAACATAATAAGAAACTAGCATACAACCCTATGCATTTGCAGATAATTCATCACAAGTTTTGCAAGTTACAGAAATGAAAATATTTATTATCCAGTAACCTGCATGAAGAACCCTCACTGTGTGATGCAAGCTTAAGTACTATACATCCACACAACTTCAATTTCCTCTTCCCCATGCTCACTTTTGCAGCATGCTCAAAATCATTTGATGATAATTATACATTGCTCAAGAGCTGAGAGCTAATGCTTATTGGGTTTTTGGTTTTA